AGACTGGTTCTTGGTTGGGGCCCCTCCAAGGGAGTTCTCCATCCGTAGGTTCACATACACACAAGGTCCTCAGTATCCAGGCAAGTTAAAACCAGCCTTTTATTCTGAATACTGTCTCAAGGGGAAAAACAAAACAACCCTCTGCTCCCAGACAAGTCCTCAGTTCCCTATCAGGCTCACTAAAAAGTGATTCCAAAAAGATATCCTGCCCAACTCCTCTCTGTCCTGAAAACATAAAGGGGATCTATGGGTTCAGTTAGGCTCTGGAGCCACCAGGTCAGAGCAGATCAAAGATTTTGGTGCTAAGAGACTCTGGGTGCAGAACTCTGTGCCCCATGATCCCAGGAGGGTGTGAGGGACGAATCTTGAGTCTGCCCATCCAGGATGGCTAGTGCTCTGTGGGGGGGGTGGGGAATTTGGTGGCATGGAGTGTAAGGAGTCCCAGATGCACTTGTTTCAGTCCCTCCCTGGGCAGCCATTCAAGCAGAGAAAGTCGCTGGAGGAAAAGCCTCCCGCCCCCAGAGGGGGCCCCACGCCTGGTGCCGGAAACACAAAGGGAGCCCAGGGAGAAGAATGGTGAGGCCCCGTGGCTGTGGCCTGAGGAATCCAGCCCCTTCCCAAAAGGCCCAAAGGAAGACAGACAGTAGGGCACGCCTAGTGCCACAGAACCTCCCTGTGGGAAAAGAAAGCAGCTCTGGGCCACAAAACCAGGGCCGTTAAAACCTGATGTGGCCCTAGAGGGTCAAGTGCCTCCCACAAATCCCACACCCCCAGATCTAAGCAAGAAACTGTCCCATGAGCCAGGAATAGGACAGGTCATGGGGTAGGGGGCACCATTCCTCACCTGGAGAAGCCTTTCCCACAGCTCTGGCAGATGTAGGGCTTGCCCACCGACCCATCATGGGACCGCACATGGTAGGACATGCGATCTTTTCTCTTGAAACGTAGCCCACACACTGGGCAGGAATAGGGCTTCTCCCCCGAGTGGGAAAGCTTGTGTCGATTGAGATGGTACACATCACGGAAGATCTTGCCGCAGATCTCACATGCCACCTGCTTCCTGGTCCGGCTCCTCTTTCGGGGGCCATCGGGGTCCTCAGAGATGGGTAGCCCATTCTCACCCAGCCTGGGTGGAGGAAGGTCGATATAGCCCAGCTGGAGGCTGGTGACACCATGCTGGGCCTCATGCTGCCGAAGCCGGTTGGCATCAGTGAACACCTTCCCACACAGGCCACATGGAAGGATGCCTGCCTCCCTCAGGCCCCCTGGGGACCCGAACATTGAGTCCAGCAGGTTGGCCTTCCTTGGGCGGCCCCGGCCTCGCTTGCCAGTCAGGGGAGGGGCACTGGATGCCACATTGGGGAATGGGGAAGTCAGCAGTTGGGGGGATAGGGGTCCAGCCACCATGGGCAAGCGGTCCACCCCAGGTAACACAGGCAGGGAGGCTTGGCTCGCAATCGCTGCACCAGCGGCCCGGGCTGCCTCCTCCTCGGGCTGCATGCTGCCTGCGATGCCATTGCTGTTGGCTGCCAAGGCTGCCCCGTTGGTCATGTCCAAAGGGAAACCCAAGTCCGAGGTCCCAGGGGGACGAAAGAGCATGATGTCTGCCCGGGCAGGGGGCACCAGGATCTGCACATTAGACTGTTTGATGACTTCCTGGCAGATCTCAATGACCGACCTCATCAGTAGGAACTTGGCAGCCGTCATGAGCTCGGGGAAGCTCTCCAGGCGAACCACGATGCGGGAAGTGTAAGCGAAGTCCAGGATGTCCCCGAACACCTTGGAGCTGATGGTGTGCATCTCCAGCTCCCGGCTGCCCCCAGCCCCGCCGCCTGGGGCCGCCGCTGCGCCCCCCACGTCAGCGGGACCCCCGTCTGCAGCTCCGCCGTCGCCCAACTGGGCGCTGAACACCGACTCAAAGTACTCGCTGCAGGCGGCCAGCACGGCGCGGTGCGCTGGGAAGCTCTCGTCGCCCACCCGCAGGAGCACGTCGCAGAAGCGCCCGCCGTTTTTGCGCTGCTGGTTGAGGTTGTGCAGCATCTCTGTGCTGTGCCTGCTCACCTGGTAGGTGTAGCAGCCCGATGGGCCGCAGGAAGCGTCGTTCACCCGCTCCATGGCCGCCGCCCCCTCCCCACAAACCGGGCCGCGGCACTTGCCCGCCCCCCCTCCCTTCCCCTAGGCAGCGAGAAGCGGGGCGCAGCGGACGTATCTACACTCCCCACACGTGCCGGCCTGAGGCTCTGTAGTCTCGCAGGTGCGCCGAGCGCACACGCCCCCTGCCCGGATCGGTCTGTCTAGACCGCAGGGCGCACCACCTCCCACATAGCTGCCCCCACCCCTGCTGGACTGAGCGCTCCTCTCTCTTCTCCGCCGGCCCGCCTCCCCTCCTAGGTCTACCTCCGGGGGGTACGCGAGCAAAGAGGTGCGCCCCTCCTGCAAATGCGCCTGCCACCTCCCCTCCCGCCCGCCAGGCGGCGCCGGCGCGCAGCCAAAAGGAGCGCGCGCGCGCGGGGAGGAGGCGGAGGGGTCTGCCGCGCAGGCGTGCGCGCGCGCGCCGCGGCTTTTCCCGGGCCCGCTGGGGGCGCGCGCTGCGTCCCCTGCAAAGCGCGAGCCGGGGCGGGGGCGCCGGAGCGGAGGAAACAAAAGGCGAAGGCGGCGGCGGCGGGGCGCGCACGGGGGCGGCAGCGCGGGCCTGGTCCCGGAGCCTGGCGGGCGGTGGCGACGGCGAACGCTGGAGCGAGCGGGCGGTGGCGGTGGCAGGGTGGGCCCTTCCCCGGGCCGGGCGAAGGCGGCGGCGGAGCGGCGGCGCTGCGGCCCCGGCCTCCGTGTGTTCGGAGCGGAGGAAAGATGGCAGCGGCTGCACTTCCTCTTGCACTTTCACCCCTGGGGGGAGGAGAAGGAGGGGGCGATACCAACAACACCCCCCCTCTCGCTTGCAGGGAAAAAAAAAAAGAAACGGCGAGCTCGGCGTGGGGGGCCCCCGGCGCCCCCGGCCCTGCACGTGCGCACCCGGATCCCTGGTCCGGGCCGCCCGGCACTGCAAACTTTCCACTTTCTTTGTGCCGAGCGCCCCCCCCTCACCCAGCCGAGGATGCACGTCCCCCCTTCCCTATTTATACCCCCCCCCCCGCAGCTCCGCTCCCCCCGCTTCCTGCCCCCCCTCCCCATTCCCCAGCTCCGCCAATGCTGGCGCAGACTGAGCCCCCGTCCGGCCCCCGCCTCCCCACCCCGCCCGCGGGGCCGGGGGCTACAGTCTCAGCCCCCCCGGACCAATGCAAACGAAGCGCCAAGCCAGCAAACCAGCTCCTACTGTCCCTCCCTCCCCGCCGAGAGTGGCGGCGAGCGGACGGGAGGGAGGGGTGAGGGACCGAGGGGTGCAGACCTGGGCCCCCCAGCCTGTGGTGTGCACCCGTAAGTCGAGCGGGCGTCGGTTACCCTTCGGAGCCCCACTTTGGTGCGCGAAATCCCCAGAAGTCGCCTGCGACCGCCTCCCCGCTCGCAACCCCAGCGAGGGCCCGGGGTCCTGGCTGGGGGCAGGCCGAACCTCCGGAGCTGCTTCTGCACCCTGGCTCACTGACCGAACCGAACGGGCTGCGTGCCTGGGAGAGCTGGGGAGATAAGGCCATCGTCCAGCCTTTTTCTCAGACCACCACACGCTGAGCTTTGTGCCCCGGGGAGCGGGAAGTCACTAGCTCAGGGAGGCGACAACACAGAGGCAAGGGCGATGGACAGGAACGGGGGTCTCCGCGCACCCCAGCAACCCCCAGGGAACCGGGGATACTGGCGGGTCCGGGGAACGCCGTAAAGCCTCCTGGGGCCGGGAGCATCCCCAGCGCCCGCAGCCCAGAGAGTCGCCGAGCGCTTAAGTCACGGGCCCCGCCGGCAGGCCAGGGCGCTTTGTCCCCGGCGGGCCTGGGGATGCTGCCGCGCGCGGGTTAGGTACCGAGGTTCGCCTGCCGGGGAAGCGCAGGCGGCCGCCACTTGGAGCCCGGGGCTGCAGGCACCGCGTGTGCGGGAAGGAAGTTCCCACAGTTGCAAAGAGGGAGCAAAGTATGTGTTCCAAACTTTCCACGGTTCCAAACTGAGCGCTTCCATTAAGAGAAGCTGTGTGCGGGGAAAAGCATTCTGGGTATTAGCATGCAAATGAACGGTCCCGGCTTCCAGCTCCGCTCGGGATTCCCACAGCCGCGCGCCTGGACTGCATGGAGCCATGCGCGCAGTGGGGGGCTTCCAGGCGAGGAGCCGTGGCTGGACCGGAGTTCGAATTCGAGACCTCAGCTTTCTGGTTGTGTGTTCTGGTGTCACTTGGCTGCAATGAAGCCTCTGTTAAACAGTCCGTTTCCTAATATATACACCCGGGACAGCAGCACCTGTCTCACGAAGTGATGAGGATTCGAAGGTCACGTCTACACAGCATTTAATTCTGTGCTGGGTCTCTCTCCTTACACACCTCCGCCCTTTTTAGGGCGTAGTAGGTGCCAAACGCCTGTTGGAGAGAATACATTAGAGGCTTGGGGCAAGTTCCCTTTATCTGGAGGCAGGCGATCTGTGTTCTAAGCCCAAATTAGTTGTGTGACTTCGGGTTAGTTGCCTTATCCTCTCTGAGCCACAGCTCTGAGATTCTTGGGCAGATCCCAGGAACCGGCAGTATTTGTGTTCAAGAGCCATAAAGAAAGAGGAAAGGGATCTGATTATTGAGGGCTTACGGTGTACACACATCCTCTCTCTAAGGTAGATGTAAATACGTTCTACCGCTGAAGAAACAGGAAGATGAGTGACTCGCCCAGGGCCACACAAATCCAACCAGTTAACCTGAGTGTGCTCTTTCCATACGAGTACCTCCTGAACCAGGAACTGGCTCTCATTGTACGGTGCTTGGAAGACAGTCCAATGATTGCCTTCATCCCAGAGGGTTCACCCAATGAAGATGGATTCACAGAGTGCTCTCAGGACCCTCATCCACAGTGCAGTGAGGATAACAGAAGATGCATCAGCCCCATTCTGCAGATAGGAAGCCTGAGACTCAGGGAGCTTCAGTGAGTGACCCGGGATCCCACCGTGGAGAAGTGGCCAGAGACAGATCTAGATCTCAGTTCTGGCCCCAGCTGCATGTCACCTTGGCAGTATAATTGGGGTGGGGGCAGGGCTGCTGTGATGATCTCTCAAATTCATCTCTAACTCATCCTTCGGTTTTGTTCCTCTCTTAGGCTCCCAAGATTCCATTCTGTAACTTCAGGCTACAAGGTGTGCTTGCAGGACACTTTTTTTTTCTTTTGTAATTGAGGTGAAATTCACCTAACAAAAATCAACCATTTTAAGGTGTGTAATTCAGTAGCACATACTACATTCACAATGTTGTACAACGATACCTCTATCAAGTTCCAAAATATTTTCGTTACTCCCTAAGAAAATTCTGTGTCCATTAGGCAGTCCCTCCCCACTTCCAGCCCCTGTCAACCACCAAGCTGCATTATGTCTCTATGGATTTGCCTGTTGTAAATATTTAATACAAATAGAATCATACAATATCTGATCTTTTGAGTTGGGCTTCTTTCACTTAGCATGTTTTTTGAGGTTCATCCACGTCGTAGCGCAAATCAGTACTTCATAACTTATAATGGCTTAATTCCATTGTATGGATATACCATCTTTATCCATTCATCCACTGATGATCTTTTGGCTATTGTGAATAGTATTGCTATGAACATTCGTGTACAAGTATTTGTTTTAGTACCTGTTTTCAATTCTCTTGGATATTTACCTACCAATAGAAGTGCTGCATCATATGATAATTCTATGTTTAACTTTTTGAGAAATGAAACTGTTTCACAACTGTTGTAGCATTTTACATTCTTACCACACACATCTTTTTATAACTAATTCTAAAGTTGGTCAAACCTCCTATTTTCTAAATGAACACGAGGCTCAGAGAGGTTAAGTAACCTTTCCAAGGTCACACAGCAGGGTCCAGACTAGAACAAATCTTTCCTGGGTCCCTAGCCTTCCACCCACTAAGAGCCTCCCACCCTCCTTCAAAGACCCAAAGTACTATTCATTGGTATATTTGACAGACCTGTACAGTGATGAACTGAGTTAACCCTATTTATGAAGCTCCTTCCCTTTCCTCAACATTTGTTGAAAGAGCCCACCGCCATGTTCCCAATTTCCAGGCTGCACCTTGAAAAGATGCAGAGCTCACAATCCCTGCATCTGCCTCCTGCTGCTGGCCGAGGCCCCTCTTCTGTTGCCATGGAAACCATGCACCTCGGTTTTGGCAGTGCACCAGCTGGACAGGGAACTGAGAGCATCCTTGTCTCCCAGGCTAAGCGGAGCTGTCAAGGTTATTCACTCACCAGATCTGTATTTATTGAGCACCTACTAAGCACCAGGTTTGGGGGTTCTTTGTTTTAGATGCTAGGGATACAGCAGTGAACAAGCTAGACCATGGATGGTGCCCCCGGGAGCCCACAGCCTAGAGGAGGAAACAGACAAAACAAAAAGAAATAAAAAAGGGTTTTTTTTTTCCAGCTCCCCTCCCCAGTTCTTCAAATTCTCGCATCTTTTCAAGCCTGGCTCAAATCCCACTTCCCCTGGGGCATCCTCCTCACAAGCTCAGATCCAAGTGATAGCTCGCTCCTCTCAGCTCTCACAGGGATTTTTTTTTTTTCTGATTGCAAATGATATGTGCATTGCAGAAAAATGTAGAAAAGACATGAAAACACAAAGAAAAATAAAGATCTTCTGTAATTTTACCACCAACAGTTAAGCACTGTCAACATTTCCTTCTGGTCTTTTCCCCTTTCTACATATGTATAATATTTGGGTTTTCTTTTTTTTAAATATAATTGGGTCCTATATTATATATTGCTTTATAATCTTGTCTCATAATAATATATTTTCTTCCCAACAGGTTTTGAAGTTCCCTGAGGACAGGGACAGGGTGTTGATAATAAGCAGAGAACATTCATCGTGCCATGGTTCTGAGTGCATTACTGAGTTGACCCTCTGTAATTCTCAAAACACCCTTATGAGGTGCCTACCCTGGGATTCTCATTTTACAGATGAAGAAACAGGACGGGCCAGGTAAGGAAGGGAAAGGAATGGCCGAAAGCATGCATGAGACAGAGTGGCCCCTGGACCTTGGTTTGCTTCTGGGACCATGTACCCTGCTGCCAGGCTTTGTTGAATGATTGGCCATGAGCCAGGGACCCAACAACAGGAGGAAGTGATAGAGTTAAGCATAGGAGAGAGGCACTGTCGTTTCCACAGGATAACAAGAAACCACCACACTCACCTTTATTTTTTTAAGGTTCTCAAATTTTAGTAATCTCTCCACACCCAAGGTGGGACTCAGACTCACAACCCTGACATCAAGAGTCCCACGCTTCTCCAACTGGGCCAGTCAGGCACCCATCCCCTCAACTTGCCTTTATTGGACTTGCTTAGAAGGCATGTGAAGCTAACCCACCTCCTTTGAGGACTCTCTTCAATGCTGGGCTGTGTCTGGTGCGATCTCTCTCTCTCTTTTTTTTTTTAGAGAGAGAGAGGAGGAGGAGCATAGGGAGAGAGACAAGCAGACTCTGCACTGAGCACAGAGCCCAATGAGGGGCTCGATGCCATGACCCCGAGATCACGACCTGAGCCAAAATCAAGAGTCGGACTCTTAACCAACTGAGCCGCCCAGGTGCCCCTGTGTCTGGCTCTCTAATGACAATAGCGACAAGATTATTCATGGTACAATCACAGTACCTCAAGCAGGAGCAGAGCTCTGGGTTTGGAGCCAAACGGATGGGAGTTCAAATTCCAGTTCTGCCTCTTGCTGACGGTGTAGCTCTGGGTGTAGCTCTGGGTGACCTGTGCCAGTGTATTTAGTCCTGCCAGCCTCCCTCTGAGGGTAGGCTGATTGCCCCCTTTTTAGAGGTAACTGGGAAGTAAGGTGGTTCCTCCAAGCCTGCACCAGTGAGGGGTGGGGTCCAAATTGAGTGCAGGCCTCCCTAACTCCAACAGCCAGGCTCTTTCCACTGAACCTGGGCCTCTTTTCTTTCTCTTGACAATTGGATTTCCTTTGTGACTGGAAGGAGTGTGCAAATCATCTGCCTGTTCTGTTCTTCCTGTTCTCTTTGAGCCTCACCAAAGACCCTGCAAGAGGCACAGGCTCAGAAGCTCCTGCTCCTGCCCCCACCAGGGTTATCTAGGGCCCTCTGTGCTGTGGTCTTCGGGGGTGACAGTGCTCTTGTGGGCCCTGGTTTATCATCAACAGTATTTCCTGCCTCTTTGTCACCAGCAGGACCTTAACTCACACACACGCACACACAAACACACGAAAGACAAATGGCCAACTGAAGAAAATGGACTACAGATGACAGAGAAAGAGTTCATATCCTAAAGGTCAATGGAGCTCTTAAAGGTGGATTAAAAAAAAAAAATCAAGATACTTGTTTTACTGCTTTTTAGGCATTTTTCAAAATAAATTAATTTTGAAAATTGTGAATGAACTTAAATGTCACTGAATTGTACACTTTATTATTTTTTTAAGATTTTATTTATTTAGGGGTGCCTGGGTGGCTCAGTTGTTGGGCGTCTGCCTTTGGCTCTGGTCATGATCCCAGGGTCCTGGGATTGAGCCCCGCATCGGGCTTTCTGCTCGGCCGGAAGCCTGCTTCTCCCTCTCCCACTTCCCCCTGCTCGTGTTCCCTCTCTTGCTGTCTCTCTCTCTCTGTCAAATAAATAAAATCTTAAAAAAAAAAAAAAGTTTTTACTCATTTATTTGTCAGAGAGCACACACAAGCAGGGGGAGTGACAGCGGAGGGAGCTGGGGAAGCAGGCTCCCTGCTAAGCAAGGAGCCTGATGCTGGGCTCGATCCCAGGACCCCAGGATCATGACCTGAGCCAAAGGCAGACGCTTAATGGACTGAGCCACCCAGGCATCCTGAATTGCACACTTTAAAATGGTTACAATGGTGAGCTTTATATGTGCATTTTACCTCAATTTAAAATTTCTTAAAAAAAAGAATGCCCTTAGGGACGCCTGCTCAAGGGAGAGTCCGCTTCTCCTTGCCCTCTTCCCCTCCCCCCACTTGTGTGTGGGCACTCTCTGTCTCTCTCTCTCTCTCAAATAAATAAATAAAGTCTTAAAAAAAAAATTGGGATACCTGGGTGGCTCAGTTGATTAAGCAGCTGCCTTTGGCTCAGGTCATGATCCCAGGGTCCTGGGATCGAGTCCCATATCGAGCTCCTTGCTCAGTGGGGAGCCCGCCTCTCCCTCTGCCTGCCGCTCCCCCTGCTTGTGTGTGCTCTTTCTCTCTCTCTCTCTGACAAATAGATAAAATCTTAAAAAAAAAAAAAAAAAAAGGAGGGCCTGGGTGGCTCAGTCCGTTAAGCATCTTCCTTCAGCTCAGGTCATGATCCCAGGGTCCTGGGATCGAGCCCCTTATCAGGCTCCCTGCTCAGTGGGGAGCCTGCTTCTCCCTCTCCTGCTCCCCCTGCTTGTGCCCTCTCTCTGTCAAATAAATAAATAAAATCCTTTTAAAAAGGAAAAAAAAAAGAATGCCCTAAAGGAAAAAAAATGTGCAAAGGACACCAGTAGGTGACTCACAAAAGAGGAAATACAAATGGCCTACAAAAGCTAAGTACTATTTCCAACGGACTAATTGGTCTCTGCTTAAATGCCGCTTCCTCAAAGAGGCTGCCCCAGACACCCTCCTAGTTAAGTCCTGTTACGTTTCCAACAGCGCCCTGAACTTCCCCAAGAATTACCCCCTAAGTTGTGTTCTCTCCCACTAGACAGTCTCCAAAGGCAGGGTCTCCTACTGTGTTAACCCAATAGCATCTCCGTTGTTCAGCGCAGTGCATGGCTCTCATAAATATCTGTTGAATGACCACACAAAAAATCATTTTTGGCTATCAAGTTATCAAATATTTTGCAACCTGCCACTCTGGCTGGCGATGGCCTAGAAGGAAGGACCCAGTGTTTTCATATCACACTGCTGGGAGGGTACACTGGGGCAACTTTCTGGAAAGTGGTCTGGAGACATTTTAAAAGCCTAAGAAATACACTTACCTTTTGACCCAGCAATTTCACTTGTAGGAATCTGATGAAATAAGCACAACTGTGCTTCACGATGTGGGTTCAAGAGTGTTCGCTGGAGCACTGTTTCTATTAATGAAAACCGGAAACCATTTAAATGTCCAACAGTGGGGCCCATTTGCATGAACAAAGGTAATGGTGCTTGGACTGAGTTAAGCTTTTAGCTGAAGATTTGGGGTGCTGTGTGATCCAACCAGTGGCTCCTTCTGATCGCTTTGTGTCAGTGCAACCACACTGTGAGAAAGCAGAATGGTCCCTGGGATAGACTCTGGCTCAGGAATTTGGGGTGTCAATCCAAATTGGTTAATGGTCATCCACCTCAATCCCACACTGGGGCAAGGAGAGGTGGGGTTACAAGCAGAAGTTTGTGATTCATGGTTCACATTTACAAAACCATCACCAAGCTCTTTGAGGTTCCTTCCTGGGGTGACTCCCCAGCCCCCATCTGTGCAGACCTGACATTTCAAGATGCACCTGGAGAACCTGGAAAGCCAAGGTGGTGGAATAACCCACATCTTCAGGACTTCGGGTCTCACTTGGTTCTGAAACTCCATTTCTGGCAACTGAGGGACAAAAAATAGGAAGAGCATCAGTTTCTTGTCAGACAGAGGTCTGAACCCACTTCCAGCTGTGGGATTTGGGGTAAATTTACTTTACTTCCCCAAACCTAGGGGGTTCTTATGGGAAATTAGCGAGAATATTATTATGCACGTTGTAGATGCGTAAGTAAATGGTAGCCATTTTGTTGTTATTGTTTGTGATTCAGTGTTACATGCTTTGATGAGGGAAGCCCAGAATTAAAACTCATCTCAGAGGTGATAAAACCAAGTCTGGGGGAGCAGGGCAAGTTTCCTACAGGATGCCACTGACACATTCCAAATGGTAAAGGAGAAAGGCCTAGATAATTTCTTTTCTAGACCATTCTGAGTAAGAATGAGCATATTCCAATGCCAGGTGATTCCCAAACCTGCCTGGGGTAGGGGTGAGGAGGTGGAGGGGTTGGGGTGGTGGGTTACAACAGGAAATGTTATTCTATTCTCTGTGAGGCCCCTGGCATACAGTAGGCTTTCGACCTTCACCTAAAGCCTGAGGAGTCCTCGTTTTCTGGTCCATGACTTGTTCTCCAAAAGAAACACAGCACCAGGAATCGTACCCTGGGAACTAGCTGGAGTCTCCAGTCTTTGTGACCCCAGCTAAGTCCCTTCTTCTCTCTAGGATTCAGTTTCCTCATCTTGTAAAACATGGTGGTCAAACTCACATTCCTCCAGGCCCCAAGGTAACCTGGTGATTTGTAGGCCCACTGGGGACTCCAGGGCTGAAGAAGGTACCACAGAAAGGGGCAGCCAGAGTCTAGCCAACCGTGGGAATGTGGACCCACTGTTGTGAGGTCTTCCTGTTTTTCATGAAAATCTAGAAATCTGAAAATCTCTTGTTTTTAAATGTTTGGTAACTAGTCCAAGCTTTCCTTTCCTTTCTTTCTTTCCTTCTTTTTTTTTTTTTTTTTTTTTTAGATTTTATTTATTCACTTGACAGAGAGAGGGAACACAAGCAGGGGGAGTGGGAGAGGGAGAAGCAGGCTTCCCGCAGAGCAGGGAGCCCGATGCAGGGCTCGATCCCAGGACCCTGGGATCATGACCTGAGCCGAAGACAGACACTTAACGACTGAGCCACCCAGGCGCCCCCTCAAGCTTTTCAATAAACATTGTGCTGGCCAAATGAAACAGGCCTCTGGGCTAGAGTGGGCCTCTGGCCCCAATTTATCATCCCTGGGATGGCTCTTCTCAGAGTCCTCTGACTCACAGTTTGCCATTTTGTGTGCCTGGAATTTGCTCCCAGGATTTGCGGGTGGACTTTTCTCTGACAATAGTGTGTACTACGTGACCTTGGGCAGCGAGGTCAAGTGCTTTGAGCCTGCAGGCTGTACCTCCCATCATAGAAGCACTCTGAGATGGGGCTTGGGCCTTCAGATAAGTCCCTGGTAGCCTCTCACAAACTCAGATCTTTCTTAGAAATTCCTAGAAACTCCGGCAGAGTCTCCCAGCTTTGGAGGATTCATCTAATCCATTAGACCCAGGGTAGCAGACAAATTGTAAGTCAGAACTTGGATTCACAGGAAGTAAGCCTTGACTGAGCCTTAGGTATCATCTAATTCAATGCCATCATTTCACAGACCCAGAGTGTTCTGCAAAGGGATAGTGGTTACTAGTGAGCACTTAGAGGAGTCAGACAGGCCTGGGTTCAAATCCTGGCTTTGTCACTCACCAGCTCCTGATGTTAGCCCCTTTTCAAGATAAATAAATCTGTCCCATGTCCACTTCTGTTTCTCACCTTTACACCTTTGCCTTGCTTGAATTCCTACAGGAATTCCCCCTTTCCCTCCATTTTTCGCTTCTAAAAAAAATCCTTCTTGTTTTTCAACAGTTGGCTCAGATTTCAACTCCTCTCTGAAGACATTCATCCATCTATTCATTTGAATAGGTAATATAT